CGTGTAAAAATTAAAATTATACATTACTAGCTACAATATTCAGAACTTTCATGATCACTAACTAGACCGTTACGACTATAACATAAACTTTGTTCAAAACACCGGTGTAAGAGCTCGTTCTGTTGCGCCTAAGATGTCTTTCAGAATTCTATTAGATAATGCAAAATACATATGTAAATGATATAATAGCAATATGAATGAGCTGCACAGCCTGAGCAGCATAGTTTCTGTTTTCACATATTGGCATAACACACTCTATTTTGCAACAGGAACGACAATTATTTATCACAAGAATATCAATATACGAAAAATACTTATAGTGATAGAAGTTATAATTATTGTGCAAGCAAGAGGTTGTATACTATATCCCATAATAAGTTAAAAGTAAGTTTTTGTTACTGAAAGCGGGCCTAGACTTTCTATAAGCAGTTGCAAGCGATATATGTTTTTATTTTTTGTGTTTACGGACGCTATTATTTAATATTTGCATCGAAATATATATATATATATATATATATATATTAATAGCAATCAAGATACAATTAATCTTATAAGATGTTGTGGCACAAATGAGATGAATCGAAAGAAAATAATAATAATAATTATAATAATAATAATAATAAAAGAAAAAAAAAAAAGAAAAAAGGAAAAAATTCTTTAGAGTTCACTCCAATGAGTGAAGCCTAGTGTTTCATTTAAGGTCGCTTGGCCAGCATCTTTTCAGTCATCTTATTTTTAGTGATGAAGAGTTGTTTAGAGAAGTGATGAGCTGGTTGTAGTGGCACTCAATTTTTGAGAGGTAGATCGAGCTTCTGTCCTTGATGACATCTGTGATGTAGCATCGAAATACGATTTAAAAGACTTAATCAAGACATTATCAAGATTATTTTAATCATCTAGTTTCAAACATACCTACACTCTTATAGTTATCTATATATAAGATATATGTTATAGTTATCTATACTTTATTACTTATTACTAAATTTATACAAATTACAGAATATAAAAATAGACAACTTCAGCACGAGTTGGGCGGATGGTCTCGCTTTCTGCGCTTTAATACACCACTTCCTTCCAAATGCCTTTGATTATCATAAACTCAATCCAAAAAATAGAAGATACAATTTTACTTTGGCTTTCCGGGTGGCTGAGTAGTTTCAACCGAATTTAATTTTCACTGTATTAATAACACATACACACACTTCATATACATACATTTCTTAATAGAGTTCATTAATTATATAAGTATACACTTTATCATTTACTTTTTCTAAGATATCTATCCAAAGTTTATTTATTTGTAATTTATTTATTTGATGTTGATATGTTCATGCATATAATTCATCTAAAAAATATAGCGTATCACAATTTATTTTAACTAATTTAATGACGCGGTTCTAACTAAGGAATCAATCAAACTTCGTATTATGTATTAAAGAATATTGGTAGTCTTCAACCTTAATACCTTGCTACTGGTCATTACGTGGTATGTTTGCCAAATTGTTTCATAATGTGGCAACAAACATGAAAATTTGAAATTTTTCTTGAAAAAAATATAATTATATTTATAACATATAAGCCAGCAGAGATACCGAAGAGAATTATGTTCTCGATATTTAGTATTATATAATAATTTTAATATATTTTTTATAAAATTAATAATGTTTATTTCGTGCATTATAATGGTTACTTTTATATTCTTTTTTTAATTCTTATATCTTAATAGAACCTTATGTCCTATAATGTCGGGCTGAAACTTCACTTTATTTCGTATTTTTAGATGGTTTCATTGGTGCAGCAATGTCGGCCAAGGGCTATTTTCACTGGAAATATATTGCTATCTATATTTTCAAGTGAAAACCGTTGTCGTAGTGACAACATGCTGCTTTTATATTCTATTTGATTTTTTTTTTCAATTTTATAATAGTCTACATGCTTCTAGGTCAGTTATTGAAAACATTTTAATTTCATTTATGTTCTTTGCATATCAAAAAGCAAGGAAAATAATACCTCATCATATATTAACAGACATCATATAATATTAATTTTTGATTATGATCAATGACATTATTGTTTGATCATTTAAATTAATAAAATATTTAAATAGTGACTAATATTTTTTTGCACTATAGCGCAGAGGCTGGTATTGCACCTCTACTCGATGTTGAAGATATGGTTATGATGCGGAAACCCGATTGGAAATGTGTGTTTACGTATGTGCAATCTATATATCGTCGCTTTAAGGACGAGGATTAAGAAATATAATATGCAGTAAATGAAGGGTTATTGTTTTTTTCGTTGACCCTCGGTCATAAAAACTAATACTTCTATTATTATATAATTAAATCTAATATTCACAATCACAACGATAGCACCTTGGGTCAATTGCCCATTATCATCACACGTGCCTGTGTTACATTAAAACTGCCTTTGGCCTTAGAAGTGGTTTTTCCAAATCTTAGATATTTTTTTCACCATTCTGGAGAATCTAAACTGAGCACTATTTGATGCCAACTTAATTTCTTTTGTAAATCAAGAATCGTTTACGTGGTGGCTCTAATCAGGCTTTTGTTCTAAAATTTTGCTCAGCTATATTTCTTTTATTGGATTCATTTGGCCTGCAACTTATTTAGTTTCAAAGTATAGTGGCAGGATAGAACGTAATCATAGAATTTATGAAATTTTTCATACTTCTTGGTCAAATCTGTGGTGATGTGTTAAATATTTTCAATACGGATTAGTGTATCTGAAAATATATTTGGTAAATTTGTTATAAATATTTAGTTATCGCAGACGCACAGTAATACGAAGTAGTATTAATGAATACTCGGTACTCTTATCACAGGATGCTATTGTATGAAATGGGGTTTTAGAGTAGTCACCTCCGTCTCGCATCAGAATGCTCACTAGGACTGTCTACAAAAGATTCTGGTTTATAATGATCTCACTTGTTTAATCACACGTTAATTACCCACTAGGGGGGAATATATAGATATATAGAGATAGAGATATAGAGAGATATAGATAGAGAGATATAGGAGAGAGATAGAGAGATATAGATATATATATAGATATATATAGAGAGATATAGAGATATAGATATAGATAGAGTAGATATATATATATTTATATAGAGATATGATATATATATATATATATATTATATATCTATATATATATATATGTGTTTATACATAACATTTTTTAAAATAGATACAACAGAGCGCAATAAGTATTACGTGGTAAATATCTAGGCGTAGACGAGGGTCAAAATATTATTTTGTTAATATTATTGTTATGTTATATTTACATACTATAGTATAGTTATTTGTGTTATGTTAGCATTTATTAAAATATTTACATCAAAAGATAAAATTCGTTCGATTAGCTTTTCTTGTAAATTATTAGTTTAATGATGTGTGCTTAATAGATTTATTACGCGCCACAATTTTTATTCAAACTATTATCGGCATTTGAAATTAAATTGTTCAAACTTAATTGAGTTTAAAAGTGTATTTTATAACATATTTTTACATTATACTATGTAGATTATTTTTTACACAGGAGATGATAATTTTATAATAACAAAATGAAAAATCTCTATAAATAAAATTTGTATTGTACCTAGAAATATATTATATTGCTTGTTTATTTCATATTCATATAATTGTCTAAATTATACAACTTGTTTAAATTATGTTAATGGTCATATTATGTTACAGTTAATTTCGACTCAAGACTATGGTTTGAATCATCATCAGTGTAAGTTTGAATTTTGTATCATTACATTTTTCTAAAAATAATTTGAATTACACATTGAAGACAGTGAAAGGGTCGTCAAACATTTTGTTACTACCGATTCGAACGCAAATGTGATTTTATATATACATATAGTCCAATTCGTATGCATGCACGTAGCAAAATAATTTAAAAAAACGATTTTAAATATACTATATTATACATAACGATAAAAAGCGATCAAATTGAAAGTATGTTTTTATAGTGTTTTAACATAATTAAAAAAATATCATATATTTATTACTTATCCATAATATCATTTGGTATATTTGATAAAATAATTTAGTTTATCTTTATTAACTTAAATATTGGAAGCTTATATGAGCGTAACACAAAACTTTTGTAATATTATATACAATTAGTTTAATTATTAATATTCATATTTGCTGCTTTGGGTACCATACTGTTAGAGTTTGAATAGGAATTTTACCTGAGCCTAATTTTTTTTCTGGTTGTTGAACCTGTAAAAGATGAATACTAATTAATAGATGAATAGTCTTTGCAAGATTTAACAACTTTTACATATATTATATTATGTTAATAAATTTAAAATTCAAGATTTTAGTCGTTATATTATTTCTACGATCTAAATAGCAAATAGTGAAACTATCTTAAAATGATATACATATATGTATTATGTATATGTTCGGAAATCGATGAATATAGCATTGTATTGAAAATCCTATAATTGTCGATCGGCAACCTAAACGTTCTGATTTATTTGATTATTGTAATGCATTTTTTAACTTCCCGTAGGCTAGTTATAGTAATGGGCCGAAAATCGAAAATAATTTTTTTTGCATTTCTCGACGTTTTGAAGGTTTCTGAACATTCTGGCATACCTCAGAAAAAATGGATATGTGTGTGTGTGTTTTGTATGTCCGCATTTTTTCGTCCACGTTTTCAGGCGCACGGATCAACCGATTTGAATGGTTTAAAAAACATTCGATTCCTGTCAATTTCAACTTGTTTCAACAAAATAATTGCTTTTGGAAAAAAAAAATTTATAATTCTTTTTTTCAAAAAATATTTTTGAATTTTGGATTAAATATTCAAAAAATTGCCCAAGATAAGCACAGTCTAAGCGCCACAAATGTTTGAATGAACTGAACCCAAGTGCGTTCAGACTGTTATGCACTGGAGCACTTTTCCAATTTTGTGAAAACTATTGAAAAATGTGAAAATGCCGCCAAGCTAAGTACAGTGCAAATGCGTTTAGACTGTGAATATACGGGAGCAGTTTTTCAACTTTTTTGAAATTGAATTCGAAATGAAATGACGATTGTCAATGTTCTGGAGATAAATTGATTTATTTATGATTTACATTTGATTTGCTCAGATATAAAAAGATAGCAAAAATAATGAAAGTTACAGTATTTGTAATAATATATTTGAAAACGTTTGAAATTTTTCGAATATTTCATTACGGTACGGAAAGTTCCAGAAATTTGCCTTAAGACACGATGCCATACACCACTAGTTTTGATAAGTAATCGTATCATTATCATGATAAACGTCCTAATAAGCTTTTAAAGTAATCGGTACCTCGATCGGTTCTGCAGGCGCCAGCATGTCTGGTGTCAATTATGTAGCCCGTAGAGCAGGCATCGTGCAGCATGTGGCACCAGGAGTAGTACGTTAAGTTATTGGTACCGCAGAGTACCGTGTCCATCGAACCTCGGATATTCAAATGCATTCGATGGTTTTTGGATTTGCATTTGTAACTACATGTTACACATCGAGGAAATTGCGTTGTAGGCTCACTTAAGCAAACTTGGCGATCCATGCAACGTATACTGTCGCACGTAGCATTATCTATAAATATAATCATTGTTATAGTCAATTGATTTTGTGTAAAACTTTAATGGCAAAGAGATTTTATTCTATAATTATTTTATCTACTTGAGCTAAATTAAAAAAACACACAAAATCATTTATTCAATTTTTTTTTTGTAGAATGTCAATGTTTCCTGCACTGCAATGTTTAATATGCTTGTTTAGCCATATTGTAGTTTTGAAACTTAGCTTGTTTATAATTTTTGCAACAAGGCAAAAAAATTGAAAATATTTTTTTTATATATTTTTACGTTTCAAAGGTTTCTGAATATTTTGGCATACTTTAAAAAATGGATGTATGTGTGTGTATGTGTGTGTGTGTGTGTGTGTGTGTGTGTGTGTGTGTGTGTGGGATACAAATTATCGTCAACGATTTCGGGAACACGGGTCAACCGATTTGAATAATTTAAAAAACATTCGATTCATATTGATAAGGAGACGTGCTGATTAGATTTTGGCGAAGACAAGTCGAGTTGTTTCGGAGATACGGGGCAAAAAGTTCCAAAAATGGTAACGGAGCGTCTGATTTGTATGATTCAAAAAACATTTTATTTGTATTGACGAAATGAAGAACTGATGAAATTTTGTGAAGGTAGGTTTAGCGGTTTCGGAGATCTAATAAAAAAGTGACCATTTAGCGGACAAAAATGATCATTAGACATATGCACATCAAATTATCACATATTTTATGAATATTTTAATAATAAGAACAAATTTTGTTTACTTTTCTATGGGTTCCGTACCAATGGTAAACCATATTTCGTTTCTACGCAGCTGACATATTGCGAATGTTTTAAAAAACAGTTCAAAATTTTCAAAATATTTCAAATTATAAAAAAAATCAACTTTTTCAAAAAGGTCAATTGTTTTCAAAAATTTTAAAAATCTCAAAAATCGAGTTTTTTCAGAGTTCTAAAAGAAAATTGAATCTTTTTTAAAAATATTTTGTACGGAAAGTCCCAGCAATTTTTTTAACGCACGATGGCATGCACCACTCGTTAACTTCCCGTAGGTTAAGTTACAGTAATCGCAAAAAAATCGAAAATGAAAATTTTTATATATCTTTAAGTTTCAAAGGTTTCTGAATATTTTGGCATATCTTAGAAAAATGGATGTATGTGTGTGTGTGTGTGCGGATACAAATTTTCGTCGACGATTTCGGGAACACTAATTAACCGATTTGAATAATTCAAAAAACATTCGATTCGTATTCATAAGGAGACGTCCTGATTAGTTTTTGGCGAAGGCAGGTCTAGCCGTTCCAAAGATACGGGGCAAAAAGTGCCAAAAATGGTAACTCATTTAAGATGTAAGAGAACGGAGCGTCTGATTTTAATAATTCAAAAAACATTTTACTTGTATTGACAAGATGAAGAACTGATCAAATTTCATGAAGGCAGGTCTAGCGGTTTCGGAGATCTAATAAAAAAAAGTAAAGTAAAGACACATGCACATCAAATTACCAGATATTTTATAGAGATTTTAACAATAAGTATAAATTTTGTTTACATTCCTATGGGTTCCGTACCAATATTTATCCGTTAGACGGCAACGCGGCGTTTACGCGCTTTGACATTTCGTCTCTATGCAGTTAAAGCAATACGATTGCTTTGAAAAAAAAGTTCAGAATTTCCAAAATATG